AAGCCCTGGGATATTATACATTATTAATATTATTATACTTGGAACAAAATAACTGTGTTTGCTTTGCATTTCTGATGTTACGTCAAATCAATGGAAAAAGTGATCATAAGCGAACTTCACCTGGGAAACTATAAAGTTGGAAATCAAAATTAAAAAAAGGCGAAGCTATCCTTTTTAAATTTATACTACATTTTACAACACTATGTTTATTTCATGAGTTGGTCTGTTTTTGGTAGAGCTTATGCAGACATGCATGGAATTATCGGTCATACGTCTGGAAAACGTGACTACTACTACTATGCCACATGTCTTCACTTTTCTCTCTATTGCTTAAAAGTTAAAGATACATTAAAGAGTTCGCAGTTCTCACTATAATAGTTAAAAACTAGATAATGTATAGGCAATTTGCTGAAAAATTCATTCAAATTGATCCACTATGAACCGAGAACTAACCGGTTGAAATACCCGGCTAGCCTTGATCATCCTTACTAAAGTCAGTACGATAAATAGCGTAGTCTTAATTATCTATTTAATCTTTAAATCGTGAAGGAAAGTTATGCAGTAAATTGGTGCATAAATCCACTAAAGATCGCAGGCTAGCAATGCCATCTAGAGTTGATTATGGTCTGGATGGGTTAATTAATGTCTAATTAATAATTTAGATAACATTTCAAGCCTAAAGAAAGACTGGCAATAGACAGATTTAGCTCTTGCATAATGTATGTTTAATACTAGTCTGATCGTAATATTCATGATTTTTTATGTTAAATAACTTTTCCAATCATCAAAATGATGCTCTCAGTTCGACATACTTTACGTAATCAGCTGCCGATTTGCGAAACTGAAATTTTGATATTGCATGCTTCCGAAGGTCTCATATTCATAGAAATTTCTGTAAGAAAAAAAATTATATACTATTGTTAATGTTCAGGATGAATAACACTTTATTTACATACATTTTTAATTAATTACGAGTGAGGTTAAAATCATGGCAGCCATGTAACCAAGGTGGGGGCAGTGTTTAAAATTTACGTCGGTCCGTCGGCCCAGTGCCGATAAATAACTTGGCGGGCCGACATCTTTTTATTTTGAATATGGTGGGTCGGCCCTGTGAGCCGACTGTTTTTGTCGGGAAAAATATGTGTCATGGATATTTGTTCATGGATCTATCAAATTCTCCTTTGAAAATATTTATATTGTCCCTATTTATATCCGTAATATATTTCATCCAGATATTTAACTGTATTTCATTATCGGAAATGAAAATACAATTGTCCACCGAAAGAAATCGTTGTAGGAGTGAGGTTGTGCTTGCAAATATCAGCACGCTCCTAGAGTTCGGCAGAATATTATTTAACCATTTTGATAAAGTGTGGAATAGATGAGTGTGTGTTCCGTTGTAGTATGCCTTACTTGCTGTCTTATTTGTCTTTATCCGATATTGAATACACATGAATAATCCGGCATATTATATTCCTTCAATTGTGAAATCCAAACGTGTGCTACTAAACTAGGTCAGTCCATCTACTGTACTGTCATGAATCCAAGAATAAAAATTCACATGATATAAATTCTTTGTCTTCTAAAAATGAAATTGAAAAAGCAGAGCTGAAAATTCCCTGATAGCCTAACTACTGGTAACAATACAATTTCAGTTTACTTTCATTTTGAAAGAGGTCACGGTCTCTCATTTCACAGTTCCACACGTCATGATGAATAAAACAAATAAAATGATTGTTGCTACCGGACAGTAAATTTAACATGTTTATTGAAATGCAAGACATTAATCTATGTCTGGAAGGACCTGAACGCCAGTTTTATTTCATTACATTTAAATGAACAATATTTTCTGTTAATACTCGGAGAGTGTAAAGGGCCATTTTAATCCGTAATCTTCAGATTTCTATGTGAATGGAATTTCGAGATATTATATTGTCAGTACTGGTAGACCTATATAATCATTAAGATTATTACAACTACAAGTAAATATTTATTTATTACAGAAAAAATAAATATCAAGTCTGGGGTAAAATAGGGGTGGAATGATTTTTATCTTTCTATACACAAAGTATTAACATTAAATCCTTCAAAAGTTAAAATTGTAATGTGTACAGTCAATCAATATTGAATATATATTTTAACTTTTAAATCTGTCCAAAATGGCTAGAACTTAGAAATAAAGTTGGGGTGGGGTAGTGTACGTGTGTTTTGTTAATATTTATTGGGCCCGCAACTTAATGTTAGGACCTACAACTTTCATGAATGGCGTCTTCCAGCGGGTCCTATTGGCCTACAACTTTTCTTGACGAATTTTATACACTGGGTGGGGGTAATTCAGACCAGGGTTCTTAATCCATTTTGAAACGAACCGCCCAGAATTGGGTCAAATGAGGTCCGGGTAGGAACTGGTTTCAAAAATTTTAAGCTTCCATTCCCTTTTAAAATATAACCAGACTTGAACAAAAATAATTCTTGGTAATTTGTTACGAGGAATATTGTATTCTACTGTATGTAATTAGCACCAAAATAACGACAAATAAGTACATCGTTCGGAAAATTTTCCATATTTAATTCACGTACCGGCTTGAAATTCATGTCATTAATATTCTGGAATAAATTACTGTATTCGTTTTTTTTTTTATGGATATAACCTGATACGGCACCGTGGTATTTCTTCATAACACAATTTGTAGGTTTTTTTCTATCACGTAACTTGCAAATGTATTTGTTCATTCGTCCATGATAGACACACGGCCCAGTGATCATGTGACAACCATAATTGAAATGGCTTTAAAGTTAAATTCCATACGACTGTGCCATATAGCTTTCAATGATAATACGACAATATTTAAAAAAAAATAAGCCTCTGTCAGAATGTGTATAAAATAAAAAATCATTACGGTAAACGCTTTTTAAAACTAAAACTAGCATCGCTGGTTTACTGACCTAATTCCAACTGATATCACATGTCATCGGGAATTCAGCATTGGAGAATCATAATATATTATTAATGACTGTTTCTCGGTGTATTCAGTGTTCTATTTGAGGATTATATTCAACTAAGATTTGAATTTAACTAACAACTGGTCAGTGAAACCATTAAATAATAATACAATTATTATTTTAATATCTACCGGTACACCTGGAATTCATACAAAGCTTCGAAGGCGCGCGATAGATAAACAATCCATCATGCCGAGATCGTCTTCCTTCGATTGCCGCCTGGCTGTTATGAATAATCAGCAAGCTTGTTTTGTTTTTTTTACCGGTCGATTATCAAAATTACGGTTATTTGTGCTAATTACTCGGATTATGAACTACATGGCCGATTTTCACTAAAGTATGACTGTTATTGTAGCCGACAAGCAAGTTGATTGACTACTTAATTAACAAGTAATAATTAACCGGTTGTAATTTAACTGAAAGTAGATTGATTTATGATACCATAGTGGCCGGTTCATTGTTTTACCAATCGGCTTGATAGAACTTCAAGCGGCTAAAGCCGATAAAAAACAACCAATTGAGATCCCTGATTCAGACCATGTGACAACATGAAATATGTCTTCTGCAGTTGGAATTCGTTTAACAACTGCATAGTAAATGATTGGTGTTGAAAATACCATCCAGAATACAATTCTTATCATATGACATCAGTAACTTGCACAAAATATGAACAACAATTATTAATATTTTCCAAAATAACAATAACCGCCAAAATTTACCTAATAAAAGTAAACTGTTACATTTAATTAATATTGAGTAATCATGATAGATTGTAGCTGCACCTCAAATGACCAAAACAGCTAATCAAAATTTTGATTTGATAAGCAAAAATTTCTCAGAACTGTTTCATACTGTTAACCATTTTGTTCACTGGTATTAAACATACATTCCTGGGTACAAACTAGGTGATTTGGACTAAAAACATAATCAAACTAATTAATTTATCATAATTTTGCTTCAAATCCTTCTCAAAAGATTGCAATTGTCAGGGAATACCCGGCTATAAAAACTCAATCAAAAAGAGGTCATGTTTGTGTCACGTGACACAACGGGTGCTATGTCGGAGGAGAATTCATTGTATACAAAAGGCAATGTTGCCTTTATCGCTGACTATTTATTACAAATATCAAAGCCTAAATTAAATTCTCGGATTATCCACTGCCCGCATCTTTTTCTGATTTTTATCTCAGAAAGTGTTATACGTCTAACTCTTCATAATGTTTATCAACATGTACATCAAGCGCTCAATCTCCGCGTGCAACCTTCGACGTCACGCGTGCAGACACTCCTAATCGTCCTTCTGTCCATTAGGGAAACCCGTACATTTTCGTCCTGTATGCACTCCATGCATTTTTTTCAGGGAATCCAGTATTTTTCTAGTAAGATTGGATATTTCTACTTACGATATATACCAAAATTGCCATACTTTTATTGGAAATAACCACCCGATAAATACTTTTCTGGGAACGTAGCTTTAAAGCTTTTAAGTTAACCATCTGTACAATTTCTATTCATTCTTGACATTGCATTTCTCCATCTTCTGTCAGTACTTTGACAGATCACATATAGACATATAGCCTGATCTAATGCTTTGTAAGGGTAGTTATGACTTAAATATTTGAAAGCATACAAAGTAAATTTGATTATTTTACATGTCTGCTCTTTCCAAAGATTTTACTACACCTGTTCCTTTCACTAGCCATGTTGTATGGTACCAATGACCTATTTTACTATCCTGTTTATTTTATTATTTTTTCACATCAAACTGTTTTGTTTTCCTTTTTTGACTTTCTTTATAGAGTGACAAGGTTGTTCAATACTGTAAAAAAATTAATTTGTTGATCAATCGAGGCTGTCGTGCTTGGCAGATTGTTTAAAGACGTTACCTTTCTGTGATTTATTACAAATAACAAATGTGATACAAATATCTGTAGCCGAATTTAGTATAATCAGTCAATTAAGATTCCTTCAGATGACTACATTATTATTTATTCCAGGAAACGGGGCAAGAAGGGAGAGAAGGGTGGCAAAGGTTTACGTCATTTTTCTATGAAAGTTTGTGAAAAAGTTCAGCGAAAAGGTGTTACATCGTATAACGAGGTTGCTGATGAACTGGTGGCTGAATTTACTGACCCCAGAAACCCCCAGTCACAACAAGAAGCGGTTTGTATTGAAGTCAATTTCTTTTTTTTTTTTTTATATGCCCACACACATTGAAATGTGGTTGTATACTGTAGTTAGGCCGACGTCGACAATTGCTTGTATAGATGCTCTAAAAGCTAAAGTTAATATACGATTGACTTTAAATTTATACACAGGGTTTAAGCTCATGAGGCGATGAAGCCCATTGATTTTCAAGGATTTCGAAATAATTGATGCCAGCGTTATATTATGGTCCATGATCACTTTGAAATATTTATACACAGTATTTAAGGTCATGAGATGAAGAATCCTATTGATTTTCAACGATTCCTGATAATGCCAGAGTTATGGCCCTTGATCATTTTGAAAAAATCATTTGGACCTGTTATCGACCTAATTAGCTACTGAATTTCACCATCCTACGCCACCTGTCGATGACGTACTGTCTAGTCAGTTTTACCAACGAAGACTGCTTTCATTCTCTTTGATGTAAAGTTTTATTGATCAAGAAAGTTATCAGAAAAGGCCAATTTGGCTTTCCAAAAGTAGTTATCCAATAAATATATAGTTTGAACTAATTATTGGAATCATAAAATTAATCTGTCAAAGGTTTAGGGGTTATAAGGTCGTAAACTTGCGAGATAATTTTCCCATCAATGACTGCTGCCGGCCTTTTTAATGTACCGTTTTATTGATCAGTAAAGTTATTAAAAAAAAAGCTAATTAGTTCCAAAAATAGTTATGCAATAAACATAGTTTGAAGTAATTATTGAAAACATAAAACTTATACGTCACAACAATGGTTTAGAGGTTATGTATTATACTTGTAAGGTCGTGAACTCGCAAGAAAATTCATGTCATAGGTAGCCACTTTGTACGCAAGTTTAATATTATCACGCTCGTTCTACCAATAATTCCTTTGCTATGGAAAATGATTATTATCTGATTCAGAATTTGAAGGAATTTTATCAAAGGCAATTTGGATGTGAATATTAATCTCAGTAATGTTCCGGAACTTGATTTTTCTGAGATTTGAAATGGAGAAGGAGATATGTGATATACGGCGTACCAAAAAATGGCAGCCAGTCTTTGTTGAATGTAGTATCCCCACCCTCACTCTTCTAATAATTTCTTCGCTGTGGAAAGTGATTCCAATTCAGAATTTGGAGGATTTTTATTAAAGTAGGTGGAAAAGGTGATTTTGAGATTTATAATTATGATTTTACATTTGATTTTATTAGTTTTTCAAGTAGATCTCATCATTCTTCTCCCAAAACTTTTTACAGATTCAAAATCGGATGAAAATATTTTTTTATGGAGGCTCAAAGTTGCGATTTTTGACTTTTCATGGAAGAAAGGTTTTTCAACGCCTTGAAAAAGTCATTTTTGGTGTTTTTGCGATGTCATATTTCATTTCATAACAAACCTATCAAAAATGTTGATGTAAATTCATGAAATACAACTTTAAGGCTAATTATGTTTCGATTTTCACATTTTTGTAACAATTACTCTGATTTCCCAAGCAACTCCAAAATACATAGGTTTTCTCAAAAATTCTTTTTTGTCAAAGTGATTTTGGTCAATTTTTTCATCAAAAATTGTCTTGTCCATGTTATATCTGAAATATTGAACCTGGTTGTTGTGCATTTTAAAGTCATTAGCTATCAAGTAAGATTAACAGGAAAAAAGAAAAAACATTCATATGCCTTCTCTCAAGAGCAGGATGTATGTTCATTTTTATACACCCACATTGAAATGTAGTCGTATATCGTCGTCGCCCCCGTCCGTCCGTCCGTCCGTCTGGCAATTGAGGACGCTTTAGAGCAGTGATTCTCAACCAGTGTGCCATGGCACACACCCACATTAGAATGTAGTCGTATATCATCGTCGCCACCGTCCGTCTGTCCAACAATTGTGGACGCCCTAGAGCAGTGATTCTCAACCAGTGTGCCGTGGCACACAGGTGTGCCGCGAGATCTTCCTAAGTGTGCAACGAAATTTTGGACAGCACACTAAGAAAATGCGAAAAACCATGTGATCCCAGTATTCAGTGGTGTCGACTGATATGTTTATAGCTGTGTTTTTCTTTGAGTCATTCTATGTGTCTATGACTAGTCTGTGTCTACGGGTGTATGTCGTCTATAACTTGCCATGTTTTTATTTTGCAAAATTTAAATATTTTTCATATATATTTAGCCAGGTCTGCCGCTATTTTTTCATGTTATCCAAGGTGTGCCGTTGGCAAAAAAAGGTTGAGAACCACTGCACTAGAGGCTAAAGTTAATATCCGATTGACTTTAAATTTATACACAGTGTTTAATGTCATAAGATGAAGAAGCCTATTGATTTTCAGCGATTTCGGATAATTACTGCCAGAGTTATGGCCCTTGATCACTTCAAAAAAATCTTGTGGACGCTTTAGAGGCTTAAGTTAATATCCGATTGACTTTAAATTTATAAACAGTGTTTAAGGTCATGAGACGAAGAAGCCTATTCATTTTCAGTTATTTCCGATAATTACTGCCAGAGTTATGGCCTTTGATCACTTTTTAAAATCTTGTTGAGGCTCTAGAAGCAAAAGTTAATATCCGATTGACTTTTAATTTATACACAGTGTTTAAGGTCATGTGATGAAGAAGTCTATTCATTTTCAGCAATTTCCGATAATTACTGCCAGAGTTATGGCCCTTGATCACTTTTAAAAATTTTGTTGAGGCTTTAGAGGCACAAGTTAATATCCGATTGACTTTAAATTTATACACAGTGTTTGAGGTCATGAGATGAAGAAGCCTATTGATTTTCAGCGATTTCCGATAATTACTGTCAAGACTTTAAATTTATAAACAGTGTTTGAGGTCATGAGACGAAGAATCCTATTGAAGTTCAACGATTTCCGATAATTACTGCCAAAGTTATGGCCCTTGTTCACTATGAAAAATCTTGTGAAGCTCTACACTACGGCTATGTTATCATCCGATTGACTTTAGATTGATACACAGAGTTTAAGGTCTTGAAACGAACAAGTATATTGGTTTTTAATGAATTTTGATAACTTGAACAGCTTAATCCATGATATTAAATGTTTCGTATACTAAACGTTAGCATGGGGAAGAAATTTATAAAAACCAAACAAATTCTAATGATTTTCTGATAATTACATGATGAGTTGTTACTCTTAATCAGATTTTGGTCAATTTTAGTGTATTATAAATGTTTCATTACTGAAAAAGTAGAAATATCTGACAACTCGTGCTGACTGCCTGGACGATTTAGCTGCTGTGGGTGTATGTTTCGTTGCCTGGTGGCAACCTATCTTTGAACAAGTTGATACATATTGGTTAAGGTCATGAGATGGGAAAGCTAATTGATTTTCCACAATTTCTGATGATTACTGCCAGAGTTATGGCCCTTGATCAATTTGAAAAATCTTGTGGACACTACAGGCTAAAGTTATTATCCAATTGACTTGTTGGTTAAGTTTATAAGACGAAGCTTATCGATTTTCAGCAATTTCCAATAATTAGTGTAAGACTTAATGCCCTTTCTCAACTTTGAAAAATTTTGTGGAGACTGTGAAGGTTAAATTATCGTCCGATTGACATCAATCATACACATTGGTTAAGACGACGAAGCCTATTGATTTTCCATGATATCCGATAATCCACCCTTGATGACATTCAAAAATCTTGTGGACGCTCTAGATGACCGAATATTTTACAGGGGTATGATCAAAAGAACATCAGAAGAAGGGTCTATGATGCTTTAAATGTTTTAATGGCCATGAATATCATATCTAAAGAAAAGAAAGAAATCCGATGGATTGGTCTTCCCACAAACTCGGCTCAGGAATGTCAATCTTTAGAGGTAAGAATTTGGGTACTATAGTATCATTTATTTAGTCATCAGTCCAGGGGCTTGCCCATCAGAATGTAGCTATAACGTTTGTATGTTTTGGTGACTATGGTTTATTTATAGTGCTAATATCAAGTATCGATGCATCGCCGATGCATCGATTTGGCTGACGCCGATTCGATTCTCGGTACTTTTTTGTATTATCGATGCATCGGCAAAAAATACTAATAATTAGCTTTATGTGTCCGAGGAGTTCAAAGTTCGTCCACTAGAATAAAAAAAACCACCTTTTAAATAATTCAAAATAAAACAATAACGGAACAATTCAATGAATCCCGCACGAATTATTAGGCTTGACCTGTTTACCCTACGCTTCCGTTATGTTTGTCTCCATTTTCCAATGACTACAAAGACTGCGTTTGCTGGTTACATCCCCTGGCTATCATGTCCTTTAACCCCAAGGTCAATTTCACGGTTCATTTAAATGACCAAACGAACTGTCAGAAGGATAATATTTCGCGGCCGGTTCTTAACGCTAGTTTTAAAACGATTCAGTCTTATTTTCTGCCACGGGCAATATACTTCATAAACCCCTATAGACAGACTTCACAACAAATTTGAACAATGGCTAACGAGTGTCAATTGAAGTGAATCGGACGATATTAATGTCATAATAAATAATAGAAGAATATTGTGGAAATAAATTTATTCAAATAAATCGACATTTCTATAGTAGGCCTAATGATAATGTTAGGGAAATTCATGTTTCTATCAGAAATACTAATGTTATTTCTGTAATTTTTGATTAACAAAATGGCGGCAAAAAATTCCCGATGCATCGATACGAGAATCGATGTTTGCATCCGATGCATCGATGCGTAAAATTTTACTTGATATCAGCACTATTTATTTATAATGTAAAGGCATGAATTTAGTCTTTGAATGGCTATCTTTTTCTAATTTTAGATGTGAAACATTGGGAGAAGGAAAGGATGATCTTATTGATCTTCCCTATTCTCCGTCCATCTAAAGCAAACTGTGGGCATATCTTGCATGGCAACCGCTTGTTTCAAATTTGGAAGCATTCTAATAGACAACCAACCCTATCGATATGCAGTGTTCCTCAACCTTCCGTTCCAGAGTTCAAAACGATTACTGTGGAGCATTGGGATTGGAGAAGATGAGATCTTATATGTCTCTGGAAAAGCTTGTGAACATGATAGAGATTAGATTTCTTGAAGGCATTTATCAAATTTGGTCAACATGCAAGTTGGATAAACTGTTGTATATTATTATATTTTTTCTTTCGAAGACATACCTGCTGTGTAGGCATATTTCCTTGCTGTGTGTAGCTATATTTCAAGGAGGTACTATCGCTGGTTTTAGAACTTAATTGCCCACCCGTCAAAATCCTGCTGGATGGTATTTATTTGTTGCCTTACAGTGCCATGGTTATTCAAGATTAAACTATATTATCACTCACTTCCCCACAGGAGGCATGTCATGTTTACTTCATAATTGGAATGCTGATTTTTTTTTTTATCTAGACAGAAAAACAGCGAAGATTGGACAGAATAAAACATAAAACACAGCAGTTACAAGAATTAATATTACAAGTAAGATTTAACAAACTTCACTAGAATAAATAGTATCAGAATCAATCAGATCTGCATCCTTTGTAAAATTAGAATATAACATCCTAAATAAGATTCACTATAGACTTTCTATGGAATAGACTACCACAGTCAATGAAACAAAGCAGTGAATATAAGTTATATAACAACCAACAGCGCCTTACAAACTTTTTTTTTTTTTGCATTAAGACGCTTTATAAATGACAATATTACTATTATCTCGCGCCAAACAAAATTACAGAGGGATATTGAAATGTGGTCCGTCCGTCCATATTTTGTTTTCGGAGCATATCTCATAAACCGTTCAGGATATATTTCTGAAACTTTGAACACACATCAACTTGGAATTAGTACAGTAGTTGTACCTTTTGCTATTTAGGAATTAGGGGGTTGGATGGCCGAATGGTTAGCACGTGCGTGATGTATCATAAAGTCTGTCATTGAGTCAACTGGCATGGTTTCCAATCCCCGGTTGTTCGTGACAAGTAGTAGGGTCGCCTGTCCAACCTCATGGGTTTTCTCCAGGTCCTCCGTTTTCTTCCCACTGCTAAAGACCCCTACGCGCAAGCGAATTATTGAAATAAAATTGAACCATGTGTTAGTCCCAAAGTGACCTAGTTTGTGTCGAGTGAACGTTAAACCCCATTTTTCTCTCACTCTATTTAGGAATTTCTGGGATTTATATTTTTTGTGTTTTCATGAAAGCAAATTTGACTTAGTTTTTCGTGTATTATTTTGTTTCTCATAAACTGTTCAAGATATATTTTACAAAACTTTGTACACACATAAACCCATTATAGTAGTTGTGCCTTTTGCTACTTGTCACGATTACAAAATTCTTGAATCGGTTAATCGGCTAGCCAAAAATCGTATCGGTGCCGATTAATCGGATGCCGTATAAATTCTATAAAAATGTAAAATAAATGTTTCTTTCATTGGCTAATAATGTCATTGTCTGTACTGCGTTACAGGGATTTTCCCTTGTGATTGTTGATATGCGTGAGCTAGAAACCGAATCGACTACGACTAAACCGATTAATCGTGACAACCCTAGTTTCCATAGTTTGACTTATTTTTTTGGTGTACAATTTTGTTTCCAAAGCATATCTCATAAACCATTTAAAATATCTTCATGAAACTTTGTACAAACATTAACCTATTATACTAGTACTCTTGTGCCTTTTTCTAATTTCGAATATTTGGGATTTAATAATTTTTATACGCCCACATTTTCATGTGGACTTTGTACAAACATTAACCTATTATACTAGTACTCTTGTGCCCTTTTCTAATTTCGAATATTTGGGATTTAATAATTTTTATACGCCCACATTTTCATGTGGACATATATTGTCGTCACCCCTGTCCGTCCGTCCACAAATTGTTTGTGGAGACTCTACAGGTAACAATACTTATCCGATTTTGATGAAACTTGAAATATAGGTTTATCTCCAAAAGATCTCTGTTCTTTTCGATATTCGCATGGATCGAAACTTTATGGCTTATGGCCCCTGAGTGATTGTACGAAAAATCACCTTTTTATTAGCTTGTGGATACACCAGAGGTCACAATTTTCATCTGATTTTGATGAAACTTGAAATGCATGTTTATAACCCATATTTGTGCATATCGGATTGTAACTTCGTGAATTATGGTGCCTGATTGTATGTAGAGTCGGGTTTTTAGCTTGCTGTCCCTCTAGAGGTCACAATTAATATCCGATTTTAAAAACCTTTCGAATATATCACTGTTACACCGTAAGGATGGTTGAAAATCGGACCAAAACTGCCGGACAAAATGTCCACCCCTGTTATATCAACAGATCTTGAATGATTATGCATTAGACCTTATGTGCCGGAGTTATGCTGTGTCTTTTACATTACACAAAATGTGAATTATGTACAAAGTTCGAGAAGTTTCTGGACCTTCCACCAGGGGCTACAATTCTTGTCCAATTCCGATGATACTTAAACAATATGTTAGGGATCCAAAAGATCTTGAAAATAAGGCATGACAAGTATCCATCTCAGTACATTTTACAGCTCTCACTGGATAATCTGGCAAAACTTAGATACAATCTTTTAACTTCAAATCAAATCTGTTGATGCAGAAAAGTAAAGCATACAAACTCCATTTCATTTGCTATTGCCAATGTTTAATCTATATTTCAGCAAATTGCATTTAAGAATTTGGTTTCAAGAAATCGAGAAATGGAGGCAAAACATGGGGCACCAGCATCGAATTCTGCGATTCAGTTACCGTTTATTATTGTTAATACTAGTAAAAAGACTGTAATAGATTGTAGTATCTCTAATGACAAGTAAGTACACCTAATTAGGCTTTTAAACTTTCCTCCAGAAGACTATTGTTTGTACTAAAGTTATTATTTTTATGTTCATGTATATTGTCGTCGCCCTTGTCCATCAGTCTGTATGTCTGTCTGTCCATCCACAATTTTGTTTGTGGACATTCTACAGGTCACAATTTTTATCCGATTTTGACGAAACTTGAAATATAGGTTTATCTCCCAAAGATCTTGTTTCCTTTCTATTTGCATGTATAGGACCATAACTTCATGGATTATGGCCCCATCACTGAAGGTTGAGTTTGAATTTTGTAAAAATCTGACCAAAACTACTGGACAAAATGGCTGTTCCTTGCACGCAAATAATCTAAATGTAATACCAAGGTTGTGAACACTTTAGAAGTCCCAATTTTTATCTGATTTTGATGAAACTTGAAATGTATGTTTATAATCATCGGACTGTTATTTCCTGGATTATGGCGTCTGATTGTACAAAAAATGATGTATTAGCTCGTGGACCCTCCACAGGTCACAATTTTTTATCCAATTTTAAAAAACGTTTAAATTTATCACCGTTACTCCCTAATGATGGTTGACCAAAACTGCCTGACAAAATGGCGGCTCCTTATACGCAAATAGTTTATAAGTATGTAATATGAAGGTTGTGGATCCTCTAGAGATCACAATTTTTATATGTTTATTGTATATATTCACACATATCGGACAGTAACTTTCTAGATTATGGTCCCCAATTTTACGAAAAATAGCTTCTTTTTTTAAGTTCGTTCTCTGTCCATCTCTTGTAAAATTTTGAGTATATTTTGCATAGCAAACCTTTATTTACAGAATGTTAGCATTTGAAAATGTGTTCGAAGTACATGATGATCTCAAAGGTTAATTATATTTGTTTTATTACAGAGATGAATATTTGTTTACATTTGATAATACATTCGAGATACATGATGATATCGAAGTTTTAAAGAGAATGGGAATGGCTTTTGGTTTAGAGAAAGGGCAGTGTTCAACTGATGATTTAATAAAAGTTATAAGAATGGTACCAAAAGCCTTAGAGCCTTATGTTACAGGTATACTGCCACCTGTTGGCTGATTTCTGGCAACAAGATTGCTTTATTTCTTTTTAGCGTACGCAATATCCCCACAACCTGTCATTTGGAAAATTAATTTTTTTGGCATTGCCTGCAATCTCTAAATAGAGCAGGCCCATTTCACGTCACGTAAGTTACGGTTCAGAGCAGTTTAGAGCTCTGTAAAATTGATATCAATTAAATCAATAAGTAAATGCATCAGAATATCTCAATCCTGTCAATTTTGAAAATTGATAATTATCAAAACTTTAAAGCAGGTGTTTTTTCCACAATTTAATTTAATGTAACCGTCCCGTAAGTTACGCAGAAAAATTAAATAATCATAACTTGACATTTTGCAGTGAAAATTATGTGATTTGTGAAACATGACTAGATAATTTTAAATATAATATGAAAGAATATTCATTCTATTTTGCAATTCTGCTCCAAACTGGGCTAATGAAGACAGGCATATGCAATACAGTGTGCTATGAGGGAAATTTTGCCTGGACAGCGGCACTACAGCCTACTTTTATATCAAATTCCAACTGTCAAGTGATCTTTTAGGCGCACACCAATGTGTACACGGGACCTCGGTTTTCTGTTCCATCCGAACGAATAGACAGCTGTCCTTGTCAGGCCCTCCATCCTGCATCACTGACAAGGGGGAACCATGTCGGAAAATCTGGATGAACTTTCTTGGTCAATGCAGGGATCCAACACCCAACCTCCAGGCTAGTGAGCCAGCGTCTTACCCACTTAGCCACCATGATCCCCAAGTGGTGAAATAATTGTGCATTTGGTGGTAAAAAGATCAAATTTGGTACAGTCATGGGTTATGGTATAGTGAACAGTAATGAATGCAAAATCTATCCCATAATTCTGATTAGAGCAGATGGATGTAACTGGGGCAAGACTATTTTTATACACCCACATTTTCATGTGGACGTATATTGTCGTCGCCCCTGTTCGTCCACAATTTGTTTGTTGGACACTCTACAGGTCACAATTTTTATCCGATTTGAAACTTGAAATGTAGGTCTATTCCCCAAAGATCTTGGTTCCTTACGATATTGGAATGTATCGGACCATAACTTCATGGATTATAGCCCCTGATTGTACGAAAAATCATGTTTTAATCTTGTGGACATTCTAGAGGTCAAAATTTTCATCCGATTTTGATGAAACTTGAAATGCCTGTTTATAACCCAAAGATCTTGGTTCCTGTTGATATTCGCGCATATCTAATCTTAACTTCCTGAATCATGGCCCCTGATTGTACGAAAAATCGAGTTTTTATCTTGTGGTCTCTCTCGAAGTTGAGTTCGAATTTCGTGATAATCGGACCAAAACTGCCGGAAAAAATGGCCGCCTATGTAATACCATGGTTATGGACACTCTAGAAGTCAAAATTTTTATCTGATTTTGATGAAACTTGAAATGTATGTTTATAATCCAAAGATTGTGGTTCCTTTTGATATTTGATTATTTCAGACTATAACTTTCTGGATTATGGCCCCTGATTGTATGAAAAATCGCTTTTGTTTTTAGCTTGTTCTCTATCCATCTCTTGCAAAATGTGGGCGTATCTTGCCCGACAGCTGCTGGTTTGTATTATAGATGCATCGGCAACAAATACTGATAATTAGCTATATGGCACTAGAATAAATAACACCTTTTCAATACGTTTTTCTGTAATTTTTTATAATTCAAAATAAAACAATATACATGTAACAGAACAAATCAATGAATACCACACATTGTATTAGGCTAGCCCAGCTTGACCTGTTTACGCTATGCTTCCATTATGTTTGTCTCCATTTTCCAGTGACTACAATGACCGCCTTTGTTGGTTACTTCCCCTGGCTATCATGTCCTTAACCTCAAGGTCAATTTCCCGGTTCATTTTAAATTCCAAATCTAATATACAGTCCATGGCCAAACGAACTATGTTAGGAGGATAATATTTCCCTGACGGTTTGTCATGCTAATATTAAAACGATTTAGTCTTATTTTCTGTCACAGGCAATAGAGAATGTACTTCATAAATCCCTAGACAGGCTTTGATATGATCTGTATAATGCAAACTGTCACAACAAATTTGAACAATGGCTAACAAGTATCAATTGAAGTAAATCGGACAATATTAATGTCATAATAAATAACAGAATATTGTGGAAATATATTTATTCAAAAAAATTGACATTTCTATAATAATGATAATGTTAGGGAAATCTGTTTCTATCAGAAATACTAATGTTATTTCTGTAATTTTTGAATAACAAAATGGAATCAAAAAATTCCTGATACGTCGATGCAAGTATCGATGTTTGCGTCTGATGCATCGATGCTTAAGGTAAGACGTGGCAGGAAAAATCTATTTTCTAAACTACTGTATGGATTTTATTGAAATTTGGCAGGTGTTTGGATGTGGTTATTATGAGTTTATGTGAAAAGTATGAAATGCCTAGGTATATTAGGTACTAAGTCATGAACATTTTATTGGAGGCAAACGGTGAAATATTATACAACTTTTAGGAAAAGTAGTTTTCCCGGGAAACATAATATATATCATAAAACAACCTATTTCTGAATTCCAAAAGAACCATTGTACAGGATTATCTATACAAAATTAATGACAACCTTCATTTTAGCAAATGGGTGTTGGTTAACTTCATCACTTGAAAATTTTCACTTTTTTCCATTTTACAAAGACCAATTGTGAAATATGAATATAACATACATAAATGATTTATAGATATTCCTGTACAGTAAGTATAGGGCTAATATCGTGCCAAATTTGATTGTTCTAGGTATAATAGTTTTCATTTTATGGCTTTCCTAAGGTGCAAAACATGTGTTCTGAGAAAATGCCGATTTTGTCGCGATCTTCAAATAAAAACAACACAAACACATGCGATCCGTAAAAGACCGGCTTATAGATAGTGCTAAACACTTACAGAATCATATAAAAACTTAGTAGTAATAATTGTAGGCTTTATTCTGATATTTTCTAGGGTTGATGTTGTCTGTGCCTGTATCATACAGTAGCCCACCCACTCGTTCAACCACGCATCCTAATCAGCGATCTTGGAAATTGACAGAGACTTTCTCTCCCATTTTAGTTAAAATTGTTGATGCTTTGTCTTTTTTTTTTCCTTTTTTTTTTTGCAACCTAATTTGTCTGAATTCTACAGTTTTAATATAATTGATTATTTGGCTGAATAGCAGCAATAGTAAACAATTCACCCACTTCTCTGATTCCGTTTTTATACGGCCATCACTACAAAACCAGTCTTTGGAAACAAACACATCTTTACCGATATATTTCCAACAAACATTCTGTGTCAATTTCTTTTTGAAACTCGTTTTAAAATATTTCTGCTTTTAAGTTAAAATCAATAAAATAGTGGGCAACCTGTTCTATGACTTGGTGTTATTGTAACAACAAGCTACTAAACATCTATCTATCATGGTGTGATTTAGTTAACTAATAAAAAATTACTATAAGAAAAATCAAATAAAATTACATTTGTAGGTCTATATTTTTTTTTTTTTGTACAGGCAGCCATACATAATATCAATAGAAAATGTGTCTCTTATTTGTCTTATTTATATTAGCAGTGCTGATAGTAATACTTGTATTGCTACTACTAATAGTACTAATCATAAAATCCATTAGTCTAATGGATTTTATTTTTGCTTCACTACTAAAATCCTTCGAAAATTGGTTGCTTTTTTAAAATCATTATTTTTTCTTAGAAATGTTCCTGGCAGCCATAATGTCCATATATGTAATGGAAAATAATTAATTTGTTCGTTTAAAAAAAACCCCGTAAAACATGCGTAAACTTTTACTAGGATATAAAAATGAGTAAAAGAACGTCCCGGTAGTCGCGATTGTCATTTATAAGTAATAGTAACTCAATGGTGAGTCGTGTATGATCGCGCATCTCTGTAACTAGGCTACGTAACGATTATAATGTACTGCGCATGCGCCGGAAGAGTTCACAACCGATTGACCCTTATTATGTATTCAAAAACCCATATAAGGCAGTTTCCGTGATATTTTTTAACGGAAAGAACCGGCAATTGCCAAATATGTAACGGTTATAAATAGAATATTTTATGACCATAAAACGTAGCGGAACTTCCTCTTTCCATCGATATATCAAACATGGCGACCATAACAATGCTGTCGACGGCAAGAAAGCCGAAGACGGTGGCATATTTTGCGATTCTCTTTACAAAAAAATTGATTTTAATTGACCTAGGCATTTTTAAAACATGAAATTAGGTACTTATTTTTTATTTTGTCAATTTAATTTTTTCGTAATATGATAATAAACATATTTAACCTGCCGAAAATCAGAAAATGTCAAAACTCATAATTTGGAATATTTTTAGACATTTTCGACCCGCGTCTTACCTTAAAATTTTACTTGATATCAGCACTACAGAACTTGCAAACATTTTTATTCATTCATCGATGAAAGACAAACGTCACATGACAACCATAACTGAAAGTGCTTTAAAAAAAAAATTCTGTATGATTGTGGTATAGCCTTCAATAAAAACAACAATATTTTTAGAATTAAGCCTTTGTCAGAACTAAAATTAAAAAAATTATAACGGTAAATGCTATTTTAAACCAATTTATTGACCTAATTCTAACCGACACATCATTGGGATTCGGTATTGGAGATTCTATCAGGAAAATATATTAATGACTGTTTCTCATTGTATTCGGTGTTCTATAAGGGGATTATATTCAATGAAGATTTAAATTTACCTAACAACTGGTCAGTGAATCCATCAATGTATGATCCAGTTATTCTGGTACCTGGAATTCATAATCATACAGAGCGTGGAAGACGTTTGATTGGCAAACTATTGAGATCGTCTTCTTTCACCATATGGGTTATATTTACTGAAGCAGCTTACTGAACCTGTTATGCATAATCAACAAGCTTGTTTTGTTTTTTTACCGGATTATCAAAATTACTGTTACATGTGCTAATCAGGCTATTCGGATTATGAACCACATTCTCACTAAGGTATGACTGTTGTTGTAGCCGATAAGCAGGTTGACTGACTTCTTGATTAACAAGTTATAATTAACCCGTTGTAATTTAGCCGAAAGTAGATTGATTTATGATACCATAGTGGCAGGTTCATTGTTTTACCAATCGGCTTGATTGAACTTAAGCAGCTAAAGCCGACAAAGAGAAAAAAAAAAAACAATTAAGAAAGATCCCTTGTATCATGATGTTTGAAAGTAACCATTTTACAGAAGAAATTGGAAAAAGAATCTCAAAGAACATTGAGCTTAATTTGCCAAATGGTCTCACTTTGATCTCTCCCTCCAATGTGACAAAAGGTGTATCCCTAACCTTGTGGGGTTTCTCACACTTTTTTAAGTCCCTTCTGCGCCAGAAAATTATTGAAATATAGATGCACAATATATTGGTCTTAAATTAAAATGGCTTAGTTTCTGTTGACTGCACCGTAATCAATATTTCTCTCTCTTATGTGCAGTGTGTTTCCTTTTACAGAAATGGCTTCTGATTCTTCTAGTTTAGTTAATTTATCAACTGGTATTCGACCAATCGACCCAACCGATGTCGGTTATCAACAAAAACGGTGAGTTTTATCATAAGAACATCTCAAGAAATTACTTGTCATATTGAGTGCTGATTTTAGTGTTAAAGTATTTTAGGTCATTATTCAAATGGCTCTATATGATTTAATTTTATTAATAGGTTCATCTTTCCGTCCGTCACACTTTTTGGGACACAATAACTCTCTTTCTAATTGAGTCAGAGCTAGAATGTTCAAACTTGGTGTAGGGGTTTATTAGTGCAATGCCTTGATGGAGAGTGATGAAACTTGGTGTATAGTTTCATTACATCAGTACCTTGACTAAGTTCGATAATGAGCATTTTCTGCTCAGGGTAAGCAGAGCGATAAGCAATTTGATTGGTCGAGACTTTGGAACACAATAACTCTCATTCTAATTGAGTTAAAATGTTCACACTTTGCGTAGGTGTCTATTAGGTGAATGCCTTGATGGACTTTGAAGATAAAAATTTTCTACTTAGGGTAAGCAAAGATAAGCAATTTGATTGGTTGATACTGTGGGACACGATAACTTTAGTTCTAATTAAGTGAGAATGAGGGCACTTGGTGTATAGCTTTATTACATCAATACCTTGACTAAGTTCGATAATGAACATTTTCTGCTGAGGGTAAGCAGAGCTATAAGCAATTTAATTGTTCAAGACTTTGGAACACAATAACTCTCCTTCTAATTGAGGTAGAATGTTCAAACTTGGTGTAGATGTTTATTAGGTGAATGCCTTGATGGAGTTCGATGATGTACATTGTCTGCTTACGGTAAGCTGGGATAAGGAATCTGATTGGTTGATGCTTTAGGTCACGATAGATTTGGTTATAATGAAGCGAGAGCGATGAAACTCTGAATATAGATATATTATATCATTACCTTGACTAAGTTCGATGGTGAGAATTTTCTGCTTAGGCTAAGGAGCGATAAGCAATTTGATTGGTCAGGACTTTGGAACACAATAACTCTCCTTTTAATTGAGGTAGAATGTTTAAACTTGATTTAGATGGTCATTAGGTGGATGTCTTGATTGAGTTCAGTGATTAACATTTCGAGCTGAAGCTAAGCAGAACTAATCAATTTCATTGGTCGATACTTTGGGACAAGATGATCTTGATTCTATCTGATAGAGAGTGATGAAACTTAGTGTATAGTTTGATTGCTCCATACTTTTGAAAAAAATAAATGTGCGATTAATTAATATGTCATCTATTTATTTTGGGATTTCGGCGGGGGACATCAGCCTCACTGTTGGCTTGTTTAAATACAAATAGTCTGCTTTAGATTGTTTCCTTTGTAAATCCTTCATATATGCCCACATTTTCATGTAGACATATATTGTTGTCGCCTCTGTCTGGACGTCCGTCTGTCTATCCGTCCCTAATGGTTTTTGGACACTATACAGGTCACAATTTTTATCCAATTTTGACGAAACTTTGAGATCAATACAAAAATGCAAAAAAAATTTCAAGGGGTGAAGGTGAGGTCTCAAAATTCACATTCTGCTGAGCGATCGTTTTCAGAACGCTCGGTAAAAATCTTGTTTACAAACTATCTGTTACCCCAGTCTGCAGTATATGTACTAGGCTTCCATTGTAATGTGCACTGCAGTGTACTATCATACCGCAATGACAGGTTATTTACCCGAATTCTTATACATTATTGTTGTTGTACCACAACGATTGTGGTAGTTCACTAAAGCACGAAAATGGCGGCCATAATTCAAAGAGAGGAATCGGATGAACATTTGAAAGGAATTGATACGAATATTAAGAATAAGTTTCAATGGAGCTGGCTGGAGAAGTCCGTGGATATTACTTATAGAAACAGTTCGGACCCTCTAGAGGCCACAATTTTGATCCAATTTTGATGAAACTTGAAATTTATGTTTATAACTGAAAGATCTTGGTTGCTTTTGATATTTGTGCATATCGGTTCGTAACAAACTGAATTATGTCCCTTGATTGTACGTAAAATCACGGTTTTAGCTTGTGTTCCTCTAGAGGTCACAATTTTTATCCGATTTAAAAAAAACGTTTGAATATACCAAAGTTACACCCTAATGATGGTTGAGTTCGAATTTCGTGAAAATCAGACTAAAACTGCCTTACAAATGACCGGCCCTCGTACGCAAAAAATATATGGTATATCAAGGTTGTGGACCCTCTAGAGGCCACAATTTTGATGAAACTTGAAATTTATTCTTTATAACTCAAAGATCTTTGTTCCTTTTGATATTTGCGCATATCGGATAGTAACAGACTGAATTATGTCCCTTGATTGTACGTAAAATCACGGTTTTAGCTTGTGTTCCTCTAGAGGTCACAATTTTTATCCGATTTAAAAAAAACGTTTGAATATACCAAAGTTACACCCTAATGATGGTTGAGTTCGAATTTCGTATAAATCAGATTAAAACTGCCTTACAAATGGCCGGCCCTCGTACGCAAAAAATATATGGTATATCAAGGTTGTGGACCCTCTAGAGGACACAATTTAGATCCGATTTTGATGAAACTTGTTGAAGTTCATGTTTATAACTCAAAGATCTTGGTTCCTTTTGATATTCGCGCATATCGGATCGTAACTGAATTATCTCCCTTGATTGTACGTAAAATCACGGTTTTAGCTTGTGTTCCTCTAGAGGTCACGGGGGGTTGGATGGCTGAATGGTTAGCGTGCGCGCGCTGTATCATAAAGTCTGTCATTGAGTCGACTGGCGTGGTTTCGAATCCCCGGTTGTGCGTGGCAAGGAGTAGGGTTGCCTGTCCAACCTCGTGGGTTTTCTCCGGGTCCTCCGGTTTCCTCCCACGGCTAAAGACCCCTACGCGCAAGCGAATTATGTAAATAAAATTAAACCATATGTTAGTCCCGAAATGACCTAGTTTGTGTCAAGTGGACGTTAAACCCCATTTCTCTCTCTCTCTCTAGAGGTCACAATTTTTATCCGATTTAAACAAAACGTTTGAATATACCAACATTACACTCTAATGATGGTTGAGTTTGAATTTCGTGAAAATCAGACTAAAACTGCCATACAAAATGGCCGGCCCTCGTACGCAAAAATTATATGGTATATTGTGGTCTTGTGGACCCTCTAGAGGACACAATTTAGATCCAATTTTGATGAAACTTCAAATATAATTTTATATCACAAAGATCTTGGTTACGTGGACGTATCCTGTCTAGCAACCGCTGGTGAATATAAGCTACACAATTAGTGAATTACTTAATATTTGGATAAATTGGGTAAAGTGATTATTCAGCATGGAAATAGTTCTGCTAGAGATCACAATTTTTATCCAATTAAAAAAAAATGTTTGAATATATCACTGTTACACAAAAGTTTGAATTTTGTGAAAATGGGATCAGTTATACACTAATGATGGTTGAGTTTGAATTTCGCGAAAATCAGAAAAAAATGACAGACATAATGGCCGCCTTTTGTATGCAAATAGTGTAAAAATATGGTTTATCAAGGTTGTGGGCCCCCTAGAGGCCACAATTTTTATCCGATTTGGATGAAACTTTTAATATATGTTTTTATCATAAAGATCTTTGTTCCTTTTGATAATCACACATATCCGAAATTAACTTCCTGGATTATGGCCCCTGATTGGTCGAAAAATCTCATTTTTAGCTTGTGGATTCTCTAGAGGTCCCAAATTTTTTTTTTCCATTTTAAAAACTGTTTAAATATATCGCCATTTCACCATAATGAAGGTTCAATTGGAATTTTGGGGAAATCGAAATGAAACTGTCCGACAAAATGGACGGTCTTTGTACGCAAATTGTGTATAAGTATGTAATACAAAGGTTATGGACCCGTCACCCGCTAGAGGTCACTATTTTTATCCGATTTTGATAAAAGTTAAAATATATCTTTATATTCCAAAAATCTCAGTCCCTTTTGATATTTGCACATTTCAGACCATAACTTTCTGGATTATGGCTCATTATTGTTCAAAAAATCGTTTTTGTTTTTAGGGTGTTCTCTATCCATCTCTTGCAAAATGTGGGCATATCCTGCCTGGCTGGTTTAATGATATGACCTTAAAATGCATATCTACATTTTAACACTATTGACTGTTATGTGGGTTTTTATGATGTTATGACGTCAAACTTCTTGGTCATTTAAGAGTTAAAAAATGTTTAAACATATCACCGAAACACATCAGTGAAGGTTAAGTTCAAATTCCGTAAAAATCTGACCCATACTGCGGAACAAAATGGCCTCTCCTTGTATGCAAATCGTGTAAAAGTATGTAATATCAAGGGTGTGGATGCTGTCGAAGTCACAATTTTTATTCGATTTTGATGAAACTTGAAATGTATTACTATATTCGATATTTGTGCATATCAGACCGTAACCCCCTGCATTATGGCCCCTGATTGTATGAAAAATCACGTTTTTAGCTTGTGGACGCTCTAGAAGTCACAGTTTTTATCCAACTTTAAAAAAAATAAAACGTTTAAATGTATCACCATTGTTACTCCCTAATGATGGTTGAGTTCGAATTTCGTGAAAATTTTACCGAAACTGTCTGAAAAAAATGACTGCTCAATGTAGGCCTACACAAATATTGTAAAAGTATGTAATACCAAGATTAATTTTGATTCGATTTTGATGAAACTTAAAATTTATATCCCAAAATATATATGTTTCTTTCGATATTTGCGTATTTCAGACCATAACATCCTGGATTATGGCCCTGGATTGTACTCAAAAAGGTGGGGTTGAATGGCTGAATGGTTAGCTTGTGCGTGCTGTATCATAAGGTCTGTTATGAATCAGCTGGCATGGTTTTGATTCCCTGGTTGTACGTGACACGGAGTAGCGTTGCCTGTCAACCTCGTGGGTTTTTTCTGGGTCTGCCTGTTTTCTCTCATTAGCCAAGACTTTAACAAAGAAACAGTCCAGTTAAATTGGGAGATTATAATCTAGCCTTCTTGCTCATGATAAAGTGAATACCTATACATTGAAGTGTATGGCATATAAATAAATGAACTGCAAATCTTTGGCGCACTGAGATTTTTAAATTTTTCTACTGATACTCTATTTGATAATTTCAGATATCAACAACATCAGCAGACTGCCATTATGCAGAAACCGTATTTAAATAATACAAGTATAACAGATTCTGAGGTGGCTAGTGCGACTGCTCTACTCTCAAGACAATCCAGCCTCGGTTCTCGTACAGCCACCGAAACGCCTTCAGAAACCTACTCGGACGATGATAGTGATACTGACGAATCCAGTCCAGTTGATATGGGCTAGTCTATGTCAATCAAGCCTATATTAGGTTCAAGCAATAATTATTCATCTCCAATAGGTCAGAGTTGACAGTTCAATCAGGTTGTTACGAAAGTGTCTTTGTTTTTGGGGTTTATTCTCCCTCAACTTTTGACTTGGAAGAATTATGAATCCATGTAAACATAAGGATGGCCGATTACTAGAGATTTTAAAATTTTGTTTTGTTGATTTTTGTGCAGATAGCGTGAAGAGACGTGGATGGCGATGGTGTCATCCAAAATGAAATAATGATGCATAGTTAAAATTTTCAATCGAAGATCATTTGTGTTCGCACACAATAATGCAAGGTTTCCAGAAGAATTTATGAGTAAAACCCCCCAAAACTGTTAACATAACAATACAGAAGAGGATGTCAACCATGTTTTAAAAACTTGTCATGGCTTCTGAAGAATTAATTTAATGTGCATCCAGTTTTATCAGCATCTTTTGTTAGCTTGTCAGTATGTTGGTGAAATGTATGTACTTTAGAAAAATACTCAAACCGTTAAATTTCAAAAAAAAAAAAAGATTTTTTGTCATTGATAATGTTTGAAGATTGTGGTTTGTTTTTTTCAAAAGTGACAGGATTTCAAATGACCGGAAGGATTATAGTTTTAAGAAGTGTTAAAATATTTGAGAGGATGTGAACTAACTTTGAGCTGAATTCCTGTGTTTCCAGACCAGTATTCTGAAATTCCTGAGCCTGAACATGAATTTCAAAAACTTAATGCAACTCAAAAACTTGAAGTTTACTGCCAAGTACACTTAACACAATGCAAATTATAGTTTGTCTTGCAACAAAATTATTAACATTACACAAATTGATTTATTTTTCGTTTCATCAGATGTATTCATTTACCATTTAGCAATGATTGAACACTTTTCATAATGGTTCTAATTAGTTCGTAATAATTGATATAGATTTGACAAACTTTTCTTTTGAAATAAAGAGCACATAAAATGACCATAATATAATAGTCATATGTACTTGAAGCCAGTGTTTTTATTATACGCCCACACATAGTATGCGCGTATAATATTGTTGCTCTGCCTGTCCAAACCTGCTTGTTCCCTCTCTAGAGGCCACAATTTTTTACGAATCTTTTTCAAACCTTAGGATAATGGTGACGGTTGGGATAAAATTTTCATTCCTGAGTTAATAACTTTTTAAATAGCGTAATTTTGTTTGTCTGCTCTCTATGGAGGTCACAATTGCTGTCAAATCCTGACGAGTAGACAACAATCGCTATTTTTGTTCCAGACCCTTTTCACACCAAATTTGAAATAAATGTGTTAAAAACTGTAACAAAGGCATTTTTAGGGGAGGTCTATATTTGCGACTGTGTTTGAGTGAAAATGTCTGTATTAATTATGAATGGATTTCAGTTAAATTACTCTAGATGTAAACACTGGCTTTAAGTACATACAACTTTGATGTGGTCATTGTATGTGTTCTTTAAGCAAAAGAAAGCAATGATGGACTGGTACCATAACTAGTTCGTGAGAACAGATAAAATAATCAAACCCCATGTCACACAAAAGAGGTAAAGTTACTAAAATATAAAACAAAACATGAATATTGTGTTGAAGTGGCACCTGGATTTGTTCATTAGCTGAGCTAAATATCTTCTCAAGGAGCTTACAAATTTGAAATACTTTTGAGAGAACCTCCAAACACTTACAGCTGGGAGTCAATACCACTCTTGTAGCCTGGACCTCCCAACATCAAAGAACCATCTGGCACTAATTTCTTTTGGCCATAACCTTGGTAGTAACATACCATTTGATATAACCTTGGTAGTAACATACCATTCACAAAATGACTTAAAAGGAACCAATTTAGAGATTCACCACAGTCCAGGGCAATTTGAATCTCAAATAAGAATATCAGTCCAATAATGGTTGAATTCCTTTCAGTATTTACAAAGATATGTGAAATTGAAATTTCATTGATCTATGCAATAAGCCCGTCACCATTTTATCCATGAAATTTAATGGTACGCCTGTTTTCAATCTGATTGACTCTAAGTCAGGATATTGTCCAGTGTTTCTTTTTGGATTTTGTTGTCCCTCGCCTTTAGAAGAAAGCAGGGGATTATTAAAATGGGTCTGTCCGTCACACTTTTTGGGACACAATAACTCTGCTTCCAATTGAGCTAGACTTGGTGTAGGTGTTTATTAGGTCTTGATGGAGTTTGAAGATGAGCATTTTCTGCATAGGCTAAGCAGAGATAAGCAATTTGATTGGTTGATGCTTTGGGACACGATAACTTTAGTTCTAATTAAGTGAGAGTGATGAAACTTGGTGTATAGTTTCATTACATCAATTATCAATACCTTGACTAAGTTCGATAATGAGCATTTTTTTCACAAGGTAAGCAGAGCGATAAGCAATTTGATTGGTCGAAACTTTGGAAGACAATAACTCTCCTAATTGAGGTAGAGTGGTCAAACTTGGTGTAGTCGTTCATTAGGTGATTGCCTTGATAGAGTTTGAAGATGAGCATTTTCTGCTTAAGGTAAGCAGAAATAAGCAATTTGATTGGTTAATGCTTTGGGGCACGATAATGTTGGTTATAATTAAGTGGGTGATGAAACTCAGAGTATGGATTCATTACGTCAATACCTTGATTAAATGCGATAATGAGCATATTCTGCTTAGGCTAAGTAGCGATAAGAAATTTGATTGGGCGAGACTTTGGAAGGTAACAACTCTGTTGAATGATTAACATTTCCCACTAAAGCTAAGTAGATCTAAGCAATTTCATTGGTGGATGCTTTGGGACAAGATAACCTTGATTCTAACTGATGGCGAGTGATGAAACTTAATGTATAGTTTCACTACCAGGTACTTCAAAACCTTGCCTGAGTTTGATAGTGAACATTTTATACTTAGACTATAGATAATCAGTTCGATTGCTCAATACTGTTGAAAAAGATAAATGTGCAATTAATCAATATGTGTCATCTATCTATTTGGGGTGGGGGGACGGACATCAGCCTCACTGTTAGCTTGTTTTCTTAATTAAAACTTAATCAATCTGAGTTCACATTAGCATGGATTATTTTAGTGACAAATGGCAATGGCACATCGTTACTTTAATACTCTTGGAATGTTCCTAAGAAGGTCAATTTCCATCCAGCTCCGAGAAGAGAGAGAGGAGTGAATGAAAACGACACTTAAGACCACATCATGCGCTGTGCACTGCCTTACACCACAGGGTAAAATGTTTGGGGCTATACTTAATTATCTTTTCCATAAGCACCTGAATATAAAAAATGATTTGACAAATCATCCACTCACCTTAAACATGGTACAAAACAATAACTAGACAGTGGTGCTTACCTACTCATCTTCACATATAATTTAGACACCTTTCAAGTCAGTGACTAATATATAAATTGGTGGCATATATTTTATTTGTATGTACTAGGTTATTCAAAATGTCCTGAAAATATACTAGAAAAATACTGGACTACCCAAAAAAACACCCATGGGGCAAGCAATGGGCAAAAATGTCAGGGTATCACTAACTGACAACCTGACTGTTGTGTGCTAGCTTGACTGAGGGAGCGGGTGTTATTTCTTAATCAATGGTTAGGGAAACATTGAGGGGGGTTTCAATGTACAAAAGACTCTGCAATTAAACGTCGGAAAAAGAAACTGATAGAAAATAATTAAGAATTTACGTAGGCCTCAATACGTATGGTAAATGGACAGAAGTAATAAAAAATACATTCTGAAAAATGAACCTCCCCACAAAGAAGCAAGTTTACAGACATGGCATCTAACAACAGGTTATTTATAGCTATAGTTATCCCCGGCGAATAAAAGTTTTGAGGGGGATTTGAAGCATATTTTTGATAGATTAATTAGTTTGAATATGTTTTTAGTCCAAATATATCATCAAATCAAGTAGTTTGTACACGGGAAAATATCTTTAAATATGTTCATAGAAAAGAGTTAGAATCACAAACAGGTGTGTTGATAACCAATTCACAATTGATAAATTTTTAGTTAATTTTTTTATATTTAGCTTTTCGTGTCCGAGAGTTTGAAAGAAGGATATTTTATGGATTTTGTTTTTCTTTTGGCAAGATGCTATGATCTGTTCTAAGATCTTGTAGCTCTAAATCAATGAAAAATACCCATACATAAAATATCTTTGTTCAAGTTCTTGTTTTCTGTTAAATTCTAAGATATGTTTGCATGATCTTGGTTCCAAACACAATTTCTTAATGCTCTTTTGTTTCGATAATGTTAGATGATAAGTCCTTATTGGGAATATGCATAAGTAAAAATAATACATTTCCATTTAAAAAGCAGTTGGGAAAAGTTTAAATCTGATCTCAAGAACTGATTTAGGAGTTTAAAGAGGAAATTGTGCATCAGAATTTCTTGTGATATTGTTCATTTAAATATCAAATGTTATTGGACAAGAATGTACATCTAAAGAAAACTAAACACCCAATTAATTTGTACATAAATATAATGGGTAGAGAAGTTTATGCTCTGTCTTAAATAGTGTTGTAGGACAAAACTGAAAAATGTTCCCACCAATTTGTTGTTTAGAACTACATGTACGTTATTCTTTTATGCCTGAAAGGTTTTTTTTTTTTTATTACAAAATTGTAAGTAGCCATAGATTAGAATATTTTTTAAAATAGAAACATATTGCAGCAGAAGGCAATTTTTTAATGTTTGATATGAATTTAACTTGTAACTGCTCAGGCATTATAGACTTATTCTATAGAATAACATTTATCCATAGAAGAAAATAATGACATCATTTGTTAATAATTTCAATATGTATTGTAAATTCAATGTCATTGAAATATGTTATAAACATTGTCACAGACACGCGAACAAAAAAAATGTCATTTGTAAAATATATTAAAATCATTCATTGCCTCAAAGATTTATAATTGTTAAATGATGTTGATCAATATCTTGGTCTAAATAATGGAAAAACATTTACTGACATTGTGTTAAATATTGTCTTTTTTTTATGCCCATATTAAAATGTGGCCCTATTCCCTATTTTTGACGCCACCCTTGTATGTCAATCATTCCTTGACCGCATGTAATTTATACAGTGGTCATGTTCATGTGATGAAAAAGCCCATTGATACTGCAATTCCCAAAGATTTCCAATGACGCGTTTATCCCAGGACAATTTTTTCAAAACTAATGAACACTCATAGACAATCTTGCTTTTCCGGCAGATGGGCAGGGGCCACGAAAATGCCCCCCGTGCCCTGAAACGAAGAAGCCTATTGAATTTCAGCAAATTCCATCCATTATGCCAAGAGTTATAGCCTTTGTTTCACATTGTTGCACCTTGTGTGAATGCTTTAACGACAAAAGTTATTATCCGATCTGTGTGAAAGTTGTCCAACCTCGTGGGTTTTCTCCGGGTACTCTGGTTTCCTCCCACTGCTAAAGAGCCCTACGCGCAAGCGAATTATGTAAATAAAATTAAACCAAATGTTAGTCCCGAAATGACCTAGTTTGTGTCGAGTGGACGTTAAACCCCATTTCTCTCTCTCTCTCTCTCTGTGGAAGTGATATGCATCATTTAGTTTAGTAAAACGAAGAACCCTATTGAATTTCAGCAATTTCTGTTTATAACTTCTACAGTTATAGCCCTTGTTTAACCCTGTCGAACCTTTTGAATGCTCGAATGACGAGTTATCATCCGATCTGTATGAAATTTATATGCACCTTTAAATTAGTGAAATCAAGAAGCCAGTTGAATTACAGCAATTTCCGTTAATGGCTTCTAGAGTTATGGCCCATGTTTCACCACATTGGACCGTGTGAATGCTCTAATGACAAAAGTTGTCATCCAATCTGTATGATCTTTATATGTTTCATTTAGATTAGAGAAATTACGTCTAGAGTTACGGCTCTTGTTTTACTTCCTTCAACCCTATGAAAGTTCAAACGACAATATGCTATCATCCGATCTGTATGAAATTTACATGCATTATTTAAATGAAATTTTTGCAAGTTTCCGGGTTCTTCTCGAGTTAAGGCCTTTATTTCCGTTTGTAGATCCTAGTGAACCCCCCAAAGGACGGAAATTATAATCTGATCTGTATGAAATTGTCTTGGATTCAAATGGACGGGGGTTCGGATATCCTGACGGCGACGAGAGCCTCAAGCAGAACGTGATAGAGCCGGGGCCCCATACATACATGGGGCCGATTGCTTAAAACTAAGTTATTTTAACCATCCGTTAGATCTTCTTAACGTGTCGTTCGTTAACGGTCCGTTAAATTTTTGTTGCTGGAAAGCCAATTTCATTATCCGTTAGCTAACGGACTGATTAAAGTTAATCCAAGAGAAGACTCTTCATTGACTGAATTTTAAATTCAATGTACATGTATAGCAACTTCATAGAAGTTAGTACTAACAAGAAAATGAAGACAGTGGGACAAAAAGATAACTGTAAAATTTACCACAGAAAACACTATAAAATACCTTGTTTACTTTAGAAATTTTAGCATAAATCTGCAGGAAAATTTATTGGATTTGCACTACGGAAACTGTAGACTATTTTGGGCCATTACTTCCTACAGACCCCCAAATATCTGTAGATTACTATAGAATTTCATCCTATATTAATTGAAATAGCCCCCCCCCCCCTCCGAAAGCGCCCAACCCTCCAGAATGTTCTATAGAATATTACTCTGGTATGATTTTTTTGCTAAGGGTATTACATGTACTTCGACTGACAGACGACTAATGCCATCGTTAAACAGTAACAAAGCCACAGAGTAAAGGCCCATTCTCACGGTGCGACTTGTAGTATCGACCCTAGTCGTACCAACTTTTACAAGCTCCCAACCAGTTGAAAGCGAGTTGAGCGAAATAGAAACTTCCCTATTTCAGTCAACAGATCGTATGAAATTGACCAATCAGAGACGTCGAGTATTAGTACAAACACGAATTCTCTCCCTTTGTTGTTGGTAAACATGGACGCGAAGCGCAGCCATCAAGAGCCGCTCAGCGAGAGGGTCTTCTTCTTCAAGTTCACGTAATAGGGAACTGTACGCGCCGGCAGTGGGTCTACACAGTATCCACTGTCTAACCCAGACGGATTTGGGTTTTCTCTTTTTCTTTTTGTTCTTATTTATCAAATGTAGGGCAATAATAGCCAGCGTCTCTTCGTCGCTTGGTCTTGGTGACGCCATTATGCTAAGACAAGACGAGATTATCGCGAGATTCCAAGTCGTATCAACTCATTTATATACGATTTTGTAATCTACATGTAAATACTACAAGTAGTTACTACAAGTCGCACCGTGAGAACGGGCCTTAAAACTTGGTGTAAAGTTTTAGTTCTGTGGCACATGGTAGAAGCGATTTGACGTCTCTGTGAGCCATGGCATACCATACATTAACACTTGGTTAAGGGATTAAGTCCTAAGGATCTGAACATGAACATAGTTGCCTGCTATCAAGAACTTAAAGACCTGTGAGTAAAGAAAAACAAGTATCAGCAAGGACTTGTATTCCTTACAAAGGGTACGCACCTGTCAAGTTTCATTCGATTCTGTTCCCTGTGAGTAAAGAAAAACAAGTATCAGCAAGGACTTGTATTCCTTACAAAGGGTACGCACCTGTCAAGTTTCATTCGATTCTGTTCCCTAATGAGAGAAGAGGGGGGGGGGGTAGAATTGAAACTAGACCGACAACCCAGAACGATAAGCCAGGCCAAGGAAGTTACTAGTGACAGATTTAAATGTCAATAGATTTTTCGTGGTGACGGTTAGCGTATTAGCCTTGAGTATGATAACCGGTAAAAACGTTCCCGTCGCCCGGGTTGCAATTTTCGTAAATTCATTTAAATAAATAAAACTAAGACACATTAATTGATTCTAAATATTATGGAAATATTAATCCGGCTGTGAAATCTATTCTGGAAGTCATCCGTGTAAATCGGGGTTTGATTGAGCTTGTATGGGGGTTCTTGCAGAAAAAGAAGGCACAATGTTTTTATTAGGGTGGGCATTTCCTTGAGTATTTAAGGTAACTGTCAAAATTAGAGGGTACATTTTCGGAAGAGGGTGTACGTAGCCATCCGCTCCCTCTCCTATACCTTGGTAGAAAATCTCATTGGATTCGAGCGTTATCTACCATTTCCAGTTTCTTTTGCTTTTGAGGGCAGGGTAGGCGATTGACTACCTGCCCAGCTGGCCACTGCAATGAGAATTTTGCTTAGGTTACACAGAGAAATGAACAATTTCAATGCTGGATGCTTTGTAAATATGTTAGATGTTGAAGTAATTAAAGAATGCCATCTATTTAGGGACACCAGCCTCAGTGTTGATTTGTTAAATACAACTAGATTAATGTCGAGTCGTTATTGGTCCTGTCTTAGCATGTCCGAAAAATAGGTGTTGCGAGTTTTACTGTTGTAACAGCGGCCACCAATTACATCTGTTGTAATGGACCGTATGATACTGGGAGACACTCAAAAGAAATTTAGTTGATACTGGATGAATGTCATTGTATCTCGCACCTGCAATCGGAAATCTAAATCCCTAATTGGAATTTCTCCTATAATGACACATAGAATCACCTAATTACTAAAAAAAATGTACGAAAATGGATTCAGCTACCCCGAAAACGTATATTTTGACACCAAACTTGATCCTTATGTAAAATTCGAATTTTCCCGCCAAAACTGACAACCATCTCGAATAACTCCCAATATTGACTCAGTGGTAACACTTACCGCAAAACGTATATTTTGATATTGGGTGGAAATTGGAATTTACAAGCAAAAACCGGCGGCTATTTTGGATTTTGGCCCATTTGGGCACGGATTTCGGACTGGGACTTTTGTTTTAGTTATAATATACGTCTAGACCGACCATAAACCGTGTTCGGCATTTCTATTGCAGCAACTTCCCACACTTATGCTATCGTACCTCTGGACTATAACTCCATGTTAATAATTTAACGGAGCTTTGAACAACCGGCCCATGGCATTACCTCTAGCGCCATTTTGGCGTATATCTGGCGTAACCGGAGGTCACTTTGCTAAAACACAGAGACTGAGATTTAACAACATACACACTTAAAGATGGGTTCCCGCGTACAAACTGGGTGATTTAATGGTATATATGGACTAAAAACATATTCAAACTAATTAATTTGTCATAACTTTGCTTCAAATCCTTCTCAAACATTGTAATTGCGAAGGAATGTCCTGCTATGAAAATTCGATCAAACCAGGTCATGTTTACGTCACGTGACTTACCTCTCTTGGAAGTCAGAGGAAAATTCATTGCATACATAAGACGATGTTGTCTTTAATCGCTTACTATTTATTACAAATATCGAATCCTAATTAAATTCTCGGATTATCCACTACCCGCGTCTTTTCCCGTCATTTTTATCTCAGAAAGTGTTGTCCATCTAACTCTTTATAAAGTTTATCAACTTGTACATCAAGCGCTCAATGTTCGCGTGTGACCTTTGACATCACGCGTGCAGAAATTCCTAATCGTCGGGCTGTTGATTAGGGGAACTCTTACATTTTTGTCCTGTATACGCTCCATGAGTGTTTTTCGGGGAATCCAGTATTTTTCTAGTAAGATTGGATATCTCTACTTTCCATATATACCAAAATTACCATACTTTTATTGGAAATAACCAACCGATAAATACTTTTCTGGGAACCCATCTTTAATACATAATGTACTACGTTTTATTTTTTCATGGTGTAATAAGAATCAGACGTACATTATTTTGACTGGACATGTTAAGCAAGCAAACAAATGGAAAAACAAAAACCGTGATCGTCTGACGCCAAAATATCAAAAAGAATTTTGTTTCACCACATAATATAATAAACTAAATACCCTAAATCATATCGAACTTGATTCAAACGGCAGGGGTCCCGCATACCCTGACGGTGACGAGAGCCTCAAGCGGAACCATTTTTCGGGCAATTTATTTACGTTC